AAATGCTAAAATAAAAAGTTTATTATCTGTCTTGCACATGTTACACAAGGAGTACCAGGAGAGTGTCACTGGAATCCAACACATTCTTTAATAATTCCAAATATGCTGCTGTGCTACGCTCACATGTTCTCTTCCTTACCACTGAGCTCACTCTTACTCATGCATCAGCACTGGATGCAATGCACACATGGAGTTCGGTGCATCCTGCACACGCATGCAGCATGTGTTTGGGTTTACACTGTGAGTAAAGTCTTGCCCTGCAGTCTCACAGCGCCGGGGGGATTAGGAGCCGGCTTGACGACCGCTGACCTGCCTGCTCCTTTACAAGCAAAGATCAGCTATCAGGCTGCTGCTGCTTTGTGCCCTGCTGTTTGAGGGTTGTGTCAGGGATTCCTCCAGAAGTGCACCGGGGTTCACCAAGCAGTTGGGGGCAAACGGAGGTAGAGGTGGGAGGTGGGAGGAGGGGGGTTGAAGCCTTTGGGCCATCCTCAGCGCTGTCATGTTTTCCCCTAACAGACTGGACGTCATCTGTCAAGGACCTCATCAAAGATCACTTTCAAGACCGCTGAGCGGGACCACGAGCAAGGGCCAGCACCAGGTTTTTCTAATCATGCTTTACTTAGTGGTTTACAAGAATTCTGACAGCCATGTCATACAATCGATTTAAAGAATCGCATGATTAGATACAAACCTGATTAGAACATATGTACAATGGGATTAAGTTGAAAATATTACATAATCGCTCAACAAGCTACAAATTCAAAAGAAATGATCCAAATTAAACAACTTGCTGTCACTTTATATTCTGGTTTATTTTAACTAAAGAAGAGGCTGATTCAACAAAGTGGTGGTTGCCCCCAGGTATAGCCCTCAATGTGTGAATTTGATTAGTTAGTGCTGATGGGCACTTTAAGTAGCAGCCTTGCTATCAGTGTGAATATGTGTGAGAAGGGGTTAATGCAGCATCGAGTGTAAAAGCACTTTGAGTGCCAGAAGACTAAAAAATGGCTAATTGATTAATTTGAGAAATTTCCACTTAAGTTATCTTGTTAATGTCTTTATTTTGCTTATGTGTTATTTTGATAAGTTATTTTTGTCTTTAATAACTCCATTCATATTTGATGTTTCCACTCATGAGGATAAATTGGATAAGTAGGTTTTGATGAGGCATATTGAGTTTTATTTAGCCAAAGAGACACTGGTTCCACATGGGCCAAAGGGGACACTTTTTACAGAAATTCTCCCTTATCGGCCAGAGACAACAGGTATCAGGATATAAATGGTTTAGGAACTTTGTTTTGTCACTCTGCAAAAAGATGTGAGGACCATGGGTAATATACCATTTTGCATGTTTTTTTCTTTTTTGGTCAGCCTACAGTAATTAGATACATTTAATCTGAAAATGTATAATCCTCAAGTACAACATTATCTGTGAGACATAAAAAGGTAACATGCAGAGGAAAAGAGGAGGACTGTCAGGAAGAGGGAAAAAGAAACGTAAGGGCAGCGGGAGACAGAGGGAGAAAAGGAGTAGCGCTGTCAAGAGTTATTGAACACCAAAAAACATCATTAAGGCAAAAGCATTGAATAATTTGCACACAATGGAAACTTCAGGAAGTTCGTGATAACAGGAGGACTTGATCGGAGAGGACACAAACATGAGGAAGGCGGGGCTTTAATTTTTTTAGCGGAAGTGAAAGGGGGTGATGGGAAGCTGGTTTCAGATGAGCATACATGTGCATAAGGGTGGAGCTCCTTGTAACAGGATCTCGACATGAAGGGAAACACAGGCTCAGTGCGACTCTCTAATGAGAGGGAGAACCTGATCAGAGTCAGATGGGGTGCCCCAAGCACACAGCCCCCTGCCGAAAGTGCCGCCCGACACCCTTTGTTACCTCCAAGTGAGCTGAGACCAGCCCATGAACCATGTAACTAGGTGGTTTCCAGGTTAATGAAAAGCTGTAACTCCGGTCCCACTGTCTCTCTCTGCTAAACTGACGACTGCCCTCCCTCCAAACGCTGCGTCGCACCCTCCGTCTTCACCCCCACATTCCTGCACATACCCTCGGAGGGGGTCAGGGTGAGGGGCAATTAAGGGTTTACTTTGTGTGAAGTATGCTACATTTACATTTTAGGCTGAGTATTATAATTACAATGCCAAAAAAATGGATACATTTTCTGATATTGTATTGGATTACGAAAGCAACAAAGACAAGAAACAGAAAGGTCATCTATGAAGATTAGTTTATAAAAAACTCATCATGGCACAACTCTTACCTGTCGTTTTTTGCTTTCTGCCAGTAGTGTTTTTGGCTAGGTTTTCTATATCTGTCAGATCATGTCTGCCTATATTTAAACTCTTTATTCATTAAAAAAAAAAAAAAAAGCACTTGAGAAGTGCATATTTCACAATTCACTTGGTTCTTGAGTCCATTCACTCTACAGCTCTTGCTTTTAAGTAAAGAGCCGAAACAAATGACAATTTTGTTTTCTAAATTAATAGATATTGTCTGAAATATTGAAAAATTACAATTTTTGTTAGCAAAATGCCTAGACTTTGTCCTCAAATATCCCAAATGTCCCCAACCCAAAGATAAAGAGAGAGAGAAAAGAGATTTTTTTTTTCCTCCTTAAAATATTTAAATAGTTGAAATAGTTGTGAAATAATTAAGTAGTTCACGACTTATTGATTTATCACTGCAGTCTAATTAAAAGGCAATTTTCCTGTGTTGGAGTCCTAAAAAAGACAGTAACCCTTTGAACACCACATGCAATGCATTCATGTGCTAATTTGAAACTGGCCACTACAAATGCACATTCAAGTCTTTCATAATGATGGAAGTGGTTGTTAGTCAATGTGAGGGAAGGTTTGCTCTGCAGGACTCCCTCAGATGTAAGATAGATGGACTTGTTAGCTAAGGTGAGTAACAAGGGTCATGGCTCGACTGGTCAGTGAGCAACACAACGGGGAGTGAAAGTGCAACAACAAAGGAAAAAAGGAACACAGTGAATCACCTGACAAGACTTTCACGTCTCATTTCTATAAAGAAGTATTAGCTGCCGTGAGATTTTTAACAGATTTCTGACATAAATATTTTATCATGATGGATTCGCCTACATCCTCTGCCTCTTAGCAGTCTAGATTTTGTGCTATCAATCTCACTGGAATTCCTGTCACAAATTCTAACTAAATCTTAACTTCTGGGAAGCACCTTTTCATTCATCATCATGCCAAAGCAGTCATGTTGAAGGATGAATCACTTTGTTTCACAAATTCCTTTTTTATAATCACGGCAGCAACATTTTGCTTCTGGAGAACTGTTTTGACACCAACTTCTTCAGCTTGTCTAAATAAATCTGCAGCACACCACCCCACTCCTCCTCACCCCCACAGAGAAAAGAAAGATAAACCCTCATTTGGATAGTGGGTAAACATCAGCTCCCAGGCAGGTACACATTTAGTCAAATTTACCTTGCCAGGAGAAAAAAGCAAAAAGGGGAGAAAGAAAGAGAAAAAAAATCCCTTTGATTTTGAGTTGGTGGAAAAAAGTAAATTTACTCCAGTTGCTGTTCAATTTGAACCAGTGGACATTAAAGCTGGAGCCTGTGCCTAATAAGAGCCATGCCTGACCGAGAGAGAGAGAGAGAGAGAGAGAGAGAGAGAGAGAGAGAGAGAGAGAGAGAGAGAGAGAGAGAGAGAGAGAGAGAGAGAGAGAGAGAGGTGGAGGTGTGTCTGTGTCTGACTCTTGGCTCCAAGGTTCCTGCTAATAGATTTCAGCCTCCTCGGTGTCCCAATTAGCTGGTATGTATGCAAGCTTTATGAATTCATGTGTGGATGTAAAGTGTGAGAACATGCATGTAGTTTCCCTGCCTAATTATGCATTCATGTTTTGTTTTTTTTGATCAGTGTGTATTTCTGTCATTGAAAAACATATAAACTTACCTGTCATTGTGAAAAGTTTGACATAGCCTGAAATTTACCAATAAAAGAAAACTCTTCTGTGTCTCGCATTTTGTTACGAAGTATAACATAAAGCAAAGACCAAAAGGAATCAATTTACACAAACCATTTCTAAGAAAACAGAACACATATCAACATCAACACATGGCGACACAAACAGAGACAACAAACAGATAAACCTGTCCACTTTTAGAGCACCTTTTAGCACTCTTTAAGGAAGAGCATTACAAAGAAAACAGTGGGTGCACTTTTAACCCTGACCCTGTGTGAGGACGGACAGGCAGGGCTCAAGACTTACCTGTAATAAACCCCTTTTAGCTTCTACACGTGGGCATAAATCTTCGCTTTGTGCCTTCAAAGTATCGAATATCGACTAATACAACACTGCTCACCCCCGGGCTTTTATCCCCTGCGTTTCCCTCCCTGTGTTCTGACGGTGGCACTGCCTTCAAAGTGCAAACATCTCGTTCTTTTAAAAGGCACGCCAAGCAATTTATTTACCAAGAAACTGCTGCCGTAAATGACAGAAAAGGCAGCACGATTTACTGACAGGTAAGGGGCAGGGGAGGGGGGGGGGATGAAAATGAAGCCAGAGGTCTTGGCTGGGCCTGTGAAGGACTATAAAGCTTTAGTAGTAGCCCACGACCTGTTTATGGCTGGCTGGGACACTGTGGTGTGAGGTTCCTGATCACACTGCTGCTCCAGACTGCTGCCACTCTTGCATAACGCATTAACGGGAGATAGTGTCAGAAAATAAACCATGAAATAACCTGTGCTTTTAGAATAATCTGATTTATAGGAACCCTGGGCTTTGCACTTTTTTTAAATTAAATTAAGTAATAAGGTCAACAAAGTAAGTCTTTTGCAGACATAAAACCATCTGCCCTTATTGATTTGTGGGGTGATGCATTTCATATTCAACAATATAGCTGAGACTCAGAGGATTTAAAGCAGATGCAGAGTCAATATGACTTTGCTGATAGAGAATTTAGACTTATGGTAAAGTTACACTAGTGTGAGATTCAATGAGCATGCTTACCTTGTCTTCACCACATCGAGGGGATGCATCAAACAGATCTCCACCAGACCTGAAAGGTAGAAACAGTTACGATAAGGGACTCAAGAAACCATGGACATGAAGGTGAAAGCTGATAGTCAACTCCTCCGTTTAAGCGACAATAGAGTGCTGCAGTGATGATGTTTTTTTGGTTAGCTAGGAATTCTTTATTCCTTTCATTTTAAAGAAGCATTCAAATTGTACTTCCTGATGCTAACAAATGGTTGTGTCGTCCAACCTTTCATGAGAACCTAATCAACACATACAGCTGCCTAATGTACACCAACTCAATAATTCTTGGACTTTTGAAACAGTTTTGTAAGAACATGTGTCCGAATACAGGATCCAATGAGACTTATTTCCTAAATTCAGTGAGTCAATTCCTTGTCATTTTGAAGGGCTGAAGCCACCAACCATATCATGCATGCAAACCCAGGTCTTTCGCCAGCAGCTGGAGAATCAATGCAGCCGCATGATCAGCGAGGGACTCTGAGGTTTCACACACACGCTAACTATGTGCATCTGTGTTTAAAAAGCCACTGCTTTGGCACGGAGGCCTTCTGACTCAATCAGGTCCTCTTTTTAAACTCACAATTCTCACTGCATCCCTTTACTGCTGCTCCGAGGGCTTCCCCTGCAGATTCCACTGTGTGTGTACACAGCTGCTGTGCAATATGGACTTCTCTAATGTGCGCAATTAAACATATTGTCTATAAAAGAATGTGTCTTCTGGGGTTTTTCCAAGGAAGTAATTATCAAGAGAAATACCACAGAAAAAAGTACTTTGTCTACAGTTGCATCTGAATGTACAAATGGGAGAAAAAAGAACTACTGAACCGAGCTACTGGCGGACAAGAGTCAAACTAAACCCCTCACAGCTCTGTTCACCTGACTATGGCTGTAATTAAACTACGTTGTAGAGGTGAACAGGCATGCAATGGACCCTCTCTTTACTGGTCTCACTGATAGTAGGGCTGCAGTGACGATGAGGAGCACCAACTCTTTCAGCAGGTAATCAGATTACACGGATAAAACCAAACCTGCCTGCTTGATCAGCCTGTGCAAACACAAGGATGATGGTGAGCGAACATGCTCCAACAGGTGATGTTGAAGGGGGAGAGCGAAGTAGCCCTAAATACTACTGTAGAAAAAGAAAGAGGTGAAGTGAAAAACAGCTGCAGTACAAGAAAAGCCCTTTACAAAGTGTGATTCTACAACAGCTCCGTAACAAAGTTCTGCATTTACACACATTGCCTCCACAACGGCGAAATATTGTTGTCCCAGTGTGCTCCAACATCATGCACTGCCACCGTCTCACCACTTTACGCCTCTATTGCTACCTCCGATGGTGAATCAGAAACGGAACCACTTTGGCCCACCTTTACACCGCCGTGCGTTACACATTGCAGAGAAAATCCTACCTTCAACTGGCAATATGTAAGCGGCAATAAAAGCGAGTAAAGACCTACCTGAGGTTATCATTAGGTCTGGGAATCTTCGGGTGTCGCAAGGTTCGATTTCGATTCTTGGGTCACGATTTTGACTCTATTTTCGATTCAAAACTATTTTGGTATCACGGATCCATGGATTCAAAGTCTATTTTTGAATTTGTAGACACTTCAGGATTTAGTCCAGTCATCTTTGAGACTGGCTGAATTTCTTGCTGCTCCATTTGTCATTCGACTGAGTTAAAGAACTAGCCTTAGCACTTAGCAGGGAGTGACAGATTAGCCAAAACAATTTTTTTGGGAAGTTATGAATCGATTTAAAATCTCAGAAGATAAGAATCTCGATTTTTATATATACAACTATTTTTTCTCCCACTTCTTATCATGGTTTAAGTCTTACATTTCCTTAATAAATTACCAATTTAAAGGAATAATACTACAATGAAAAACCAAATAAGCACACAGCTACTTGAAAATACATGTGACCAGTGACCACAGCAGCTGTGCACATCTGGATACGTCACTTAAGATGATTCACACTGGATTTTGGGCCTCATCGTAAACCTCAGATTACAGGAACTCTGAAGTATACAGGTTACCAAATGCTTCATTAACTTGGAGAGGTAACAGTAGTTAACACTCTACTAATTAACAGGCCCGCCTCTCTGTGTAATGCAGGTACAATGATTAGTTCAGTGTGTTCATTCAGTTCTCAGGCCATCAGCGTTCAAACTTTTAACTGCACTTTGGACCTGCTTCTTCAGATTAGAAGTTTGTGTCAGTTAGTAACGCATGTTCCTCCAAGACGGCAGTTGCAAAAGGATCAGGTGATGACAAGCATGTATGCAAAACCAGGCTGTGTTTATTTGAGCATCTGTCTAACGCCCCTGCAGACGAGACATCCCGCGAACAGCTGATGGCAGATGAGACGACAGTCTGTAGGGGCTTGAAGAAAAACTAAAAAAGAGAGAAAGTGTGTGTCTATAATCCTACACTGACCGCTGTTTGACATGTAGTACAGCTTTTAAACCCCACTGGAATGGGTTTTATTTATCTGTACTGCTGCAACCCAGGACAGAAATATACAACGAGTAAACATACTGATACTAAACAAGCTTTTTTTCATAAAAAGGGAGAACTCACCCTCAGAAAAACTATAAATTGCACTACTGATGTCTAATGTGTAAGGAGTTTTTGAATGAATAGTTTTATATTTTTGCGTTAATCAATCAGTTTACATTTTTTTTTCAATGTCCCTGCACCACTGTGACCGCTTCAAGTGGCTTTAGATTTAAAGGTGAAAAGAAAAACAATGTGAGAGTTTTCCCTTTAAAAAAACAAGTCATAAGAGAACAAATGCTGTTGGGTGCTTTGTCAATCAAACGACTAAAAAAGGTGCAGAAAAGGGCGTTGTGTTATTACAACTGGGACAGAGCCAAGATCCAACCTGCAACACAGTTCTGTCTATTCAGACCATTCATGGTAGATCAATTAATCGCTAATTTATGCTGCTTTAGATGTGAAAGAAACGTTTGACAATAAAACTAATTAGGTATTAAATTAATACTCAATTTATAATAAGTTATCCTTTATTTCTGGCGGTGACACGTCATATAAATGTGTCAGTGTTAAACGACTGAAGACATCATGTATGTCATTTTCCTGACACCTCTGAGAGGCAGCGTCTCGCTCCGTTGCACCCCAGTGCATCTTGGTCTTCTACTGCAGCTGTCAGCACATACTACTATTTAATCATACAAGCACACACACTTGGGAGCACATCATACCCTGCTGTAGTCTATGATGCAGTCACTGAGGGGCAAACTGAGAAGGTGATGCTACTAGCTCAGCCTCCCCTTCTCTGACTCCTCCTGCAGATACCCTCCTCCTCTAGCTGCAGGGGGGGGGGAGGAAGGTGATGGGGGGGTTAATATTACAGTGACCTGCCATCTGGTTGACATTTGTGTCTTTGCTATGCATCATTGAGTGACATATTGGGAGATTCCTTTTCCATTATTTGAAGGTTCTTTTGTTTCTGGACCACAATAGTAGTGACAGGCCTTGTCATGTAGCACCTTTCAGACACACACGCACACACACACTAAGCGAGGCACAGGTGCTAATGGCAAAGGAGTGTCTGGAGCACAGCCATTAAAAAACACACTTGCAAATTTGCTACAGGACTGCAGCGCTCTGCGCCAAGGCTCGGTGTAAAGGCTAATTGCGCTGTGGAAACAAAAGAGCAACATGGATACAGTGAGAAATTTCCCTGACTTTATGTCATGGCAACATATAGTTTTGAATGAATGCCTGGTTTTCTTATTGCACAGTGCTGACATCATGTGCAGCTTTAACAGCCGAGGAATTTGGCTTTTTTCGAGAATTGGATAAGAAGACCATATGGCAGAAACAATGAGGCCTAGGTGTTAAAAGTGCAGCATCATCCCTTAGGCGATTTTCGATACAAAACAAGTAGCGCCACTGGTAGCACTGGTATTGCCACTGCCACACTAGCTGGCAAGACATTCCAGGTCGTCTGATGACTTGTCTCCAGAAGAGGGATGATTATACATCACGCAGATGAGACAATTATCTGAGTTGGTTTTGGCTTGGGAATGCGCACAGTTTTGCTCCCACGCGAAAGTGAGAAAGAAAAACAATAGTGCGCCAGGGAGCGATTGCTCAACGGGTGCAGGTGTCATCCATCATGCTGAGACACTCAGTGAATGACTGTAATTCCCAGCAGCCACAGGGACAAGGTCACTGCCACAGGAAGCACAGCTCACACGGTTAAATGGGCTAATACATGGGAGACGTAGTGGATGCCTATTTCACACGCTTACTTGACCCGGTAAATGCTTCAGTCTCTAATGATAGCGCACACATGACTTTTTTAAATATGCCTATTCGTTTCTAAAATACTAGACACTGTACAGACAACAATAATTTACTATCAAATGGGAGAGTTCAAAAAAGGGAAAACATGTTTTTCTTCCCCAAAACACATCAGTTGTGTTCCATAATAAAACTTTAGAAACAGCACATGGCTTACTGTTTTAAAGAAGCAACAATTGAAGGTTTTCATTATCTGTACTTTTAATTTCTCTCGTTAAAGTAGTCTTTGTGGTTGGTCAAAAGTCAAATAATTAGCTACATCTTCCCAGGTCAGGCTTTGGTGGAAAGGCAGTCAATGAAGTCCCAGGCACTGATGCTGAAAATGCAGCTACTTTGTTAAACCAAATCATGAGGAACAGAAATGAACAAAGCAAATTGTTTTCAACAACATGAGAAAGATGTCTCAGTTCACTGAGATCCAAAGCATAAAATCACTGCACTTCCTGGGGTTTCCAGAAATAAGACGAGTGTAATGACAGATTTTTTTACTCACAGGCCTGCTCTGGTTTTGACAAGTGCGCCTGACTGAACCTGCAGGTGAGATCTCATGCCTCCATTAATACTTATCAAAACAAAACTGATCTGGAATGCTAAACAAACCGGTGAGCTGCTGCTCCCTGCAATTTGTCATGTGCAGTAAGAAAGCCAATGTGGTATCTATCAACAACCGTCCCGCAGCTCAGATACA